CTACACATTCTTCTACCGTTTTTCCACAACCTTTCTTAAACTTCCAAACAATCTTCTTACACGCTTCTTACACCCTTCCTAAAACTTTTTTACATTCTTTGCACACCCTTTTTACATCCCTTTTACCCCCTTCTTACACTCATTCTACACCCTTTGTATACTTTTTTACACTCTTTCTACATCCTTTCCATATCTTTTTCCACCCTTTTTACATCCTTTTTACACAATTTCTACACACTTTCTATAATCTTTCTACACCCTTTCCACATCCTTTGTACAACATTTCTACACCTTTTGTACATTGTATACCCTTTGTACACACTTTATACATCCTTTCTACACATTTTCTACACCCTTTTTACACTCTTTCTACACCATTTATACAACTCTTTTACCACATTTCTACACTCTTTATACACCCTTTCTACAACCTAAAACACTCTGGCTACACTCTTCCACATGATTCCTAATACCTTCGAACAACCTTTTTACACCCTTCATAAACCATTTTTACATCCTTCCTACACCATTTCTATACCCTTCCTAAAACATCTTACACTCTTCTTACATCATTCCTACTCACTTACGACAACTTTCCTACATCTTTCTAGAAATGCTTTTTCTTGTATAAAGGAAGGGATTACCCGATCCATTTCTATATCGGTCATGATATATATAATAATTCGAGCACCCTTTTCAAATGCATATCAAATTTTTGCACATCAAGGTTATGAAAATCCCCGAGAAGCAACCGGTCGTATTGTTTGTGCCAATTGTCATTTAGTTAATAAGCCTGTGGATATTGAGGTTCCACAAGCAGTACTTCCTGATATTGTATTTGAAGCAGTTGTTCGAATTCCTTATGATATGCAAGTGAAACAAGTTCTAGCTAATGTTAAAAATGGAACTTTGAATGTGGGGGCTTTTCTTATTTTACCGGAAGGTTTTGAATTGGCACCCTCCGATCGTATTTCGCCTGAGATTAAAGAGAAGATAGGTAATCTGTCTTTTCAAAACTATCGCCCTACAAAAAAATATATTCTTGTAGTAGGCCCTGTTCCTGGTCAGAAATATAATGAAATCACGTTTCCTATTCTTTCCCCGGATCCCGCTAGTAAAAGAGATATTCATTTCTTAAAATATCCGATATACGTAAACGGGAACAGGAAAAGGGGCCAGATTTTGTTAGGGTTGTGGTTAAATGGGTTGTGGTGTGGTTGGGTTGGGTTAGGTTAGGTTGTGTTAGGGTTGGGGTTAGTTTTGGGTTTGGGTTGGATAGGGTTTTGTTTGGTTTTGTTTGGTTGGGTTGGGTTAGGTTGGTTTCGATTCGGTTGGGTTGGGTTTTGTTAGCTTGACTTAGGTTGGGTTGGGTTCGATTAGTTTGGGTTCAGTGGGGTTTGGTTGGGTTGGGTTAAGTTGGGTTGGGTTGGGTTGGGTTCACTTGAGTTAGGCTGGGATGGGTTTGGTTGGGTTAGGTTGAGTTGGGTTTGGTTGGGTTAGGTTGGGTAGGTTGGCTTGAGTTCGTTTGGGTTGAGTTCGGTTGGTTTGGTTGGGTTTGGTTGGGTTTGGTTGGGTTCGGTTGGGTTGGGTTGGGTTTAGTTCAATTCGGTTGGGTGGAGTTGGGTTTGGTTCGGTTGGGTTGGGTTGGGTTAGGTTTGGTTGGGTTTGGTTGGGATGGGTTCAGTTGGGTTTGGTTGGGATGGGTTCAATTGGGTTGGGTTTAGTTGGGTTTGGTTCGGTTCAGTTTGGTTCGTTTGGGTTTAGTTGGGTTAGGTTTGGTTCATTTTGGTTTGGGTGGGATAAGTACGATTCAGTTTGGTTCGGTTCGGTGGGTTGGGATGAGTTGGGTTGGGTTGGGTTTGGTTCGGTTTGGTAGGGTTGAGTTGGTTGGGTTGAGTCGGGTGGGATTGGGTTGGAGGTAGCTTTGTTTGGGTTGGGGTTGGGTTATGTTTAGGATGGAAAAAAGAACCCGTGTCCGCGGGTATCCGCGGATAAAACCCGTTGTGGATAGTTGGTGCCCGCAGATAATAGGTACCCATTGGTAGCGGGTATTTTACTACCTTCTCATTAACAGGTTGGATTCAGGTATTACATTATCTGTATCCACGGTATCCGTTACCTGCTAAAAAATTAAAATTACCTTTTTTATCCTTAGTTTAAATTAGATTTTACTTGTTTGGCTATTTCTTTCTACATCTATGCAGCCCCCGCACCTCTTTGCACTAGAACAAAGTATTCATAATCTTTGCCTCTTTACGACCAGGACGCACACTGCCGATGTCGAATACGCATATTGCTTACCAAAAACGGTATTCTAAATCTCTTCCACATATCTCTTTTTGTTTTCCCTAATTTCTTCTTACTTTTTTTCTTCCCTGAATGGTGTTTTAGTGGGTGGGTGTGGGTTTTGATGGATAATGTTTGATTTGTAGTACAAGAGAGTGTAGCATCTTATAGTCTCTAATAATTTTTTGCTTCCCCGAATTTTCTACCATTGGAAAGTGACGTGAATGATAAGGAGAAGTTCGATAGGTTTTGGGTTTGGGAATGAGATTGAATTTTGTGTTGTTTGGTTTGTTTGGGGGTTTATATTACTTTGCTTTTGGGAAAGAAATTAAGGGTATCATCACAACCTATTTGGGTCCGGGGTGATTAGTTTTTTGGTTCAGTTAGGGCTTTCTATAAATTTGTTTTTCACTTTTCTGATTATGATGAATCATGTGAATGAGGTGATGGAGAGAAAGTTCTATGGGTCTAGGTACTGCTTGTGGTTGAGATGGCTCGTGGTGTTGGTGATTAGTTTGGTGGCGCTTTTGGTGCCTAATTTTGCAAATTTTTTGTCCCTTGTCTGAAGTAGTGTGTGGTATTGAGTTTTTTGTGTTGCCTGTAATATTTTATCTTATTGTTTTTAGGTTTAATCGTTTCGGTTTTGTCTCAAATAGGTTATTGTATTCTAAATGGTCTCAATTAAGTCTCTTATTATACAAAATTAAACCAATTTAGACTTTACTGTTAATTTGGTTAAACGACGTTAAAAAATGTTGTGCATGACATAATGACATGACCAAATTTTATTGACGTGACAAAGTTAGGTTAGGTTTAGGATTTAGGATTTGTTTTATTTACATATTTCATTTTTCTAAAATAAATTTATTCAAAAAGCGACGTTTAAATAAAAAACATTAAATAAATGAAAATGCAACGTTTAATTGATTGAAAACTTATATGAACGAAGGGAATCTTAGTTTGATTGTTGACTGGGTGCTCATTCTCACTTTCTTACTCTTCTTCTTCATCGTTCTCTTATTCTTCTTCTTCTTCGTCTTCTTCTTCGTCTTCATCACCTTCGTTTCAATCGCACCTTTTTTTTCAAAATCACATTCTAGGTTAGGGTTTCCGCATTATGATGTGAAACGCTAGCTCGCCCGTCCACCATCTCCTCCCAAACCCTCCCCTTCATCGCGATCTCCGCTCCTCGTACCATGGGAAATTGCTGCAGATCCCCGGCCGCCGTGGCCCACGGGGACGTCAAATTGATCTTCTCCAACGCAGACCACCATGGCAAGCGCGGTTCCGGGGCTGAAACTGTCAAACAGAAGGCGCCGATCACAGTCCTCGCTGGCGTGCCCAAGGAGAACATCGAGGACCGCTACCTCGTGGACCGCGAGCTCGGCCACGGCGAGTTCGGCTTGACTTACCTCTGCATCGATCGTGACACGCGCGAGCTACTCACGTGCAAAAGCATCTCCAAGCGGAAGCCTGTGAGGTCCGCCGCGAGGTCGCCATCATGAACCACCTTCCCGAGAGCCCCAACATCGTCTCACTCCGCGAAGCCTGTGAGGATGACAATGTCGTTCACCTCATCATGGAGCTCTACGAGGGGGGTGAGCTCTTCGACCGGATCGTCGCCCGCTCTAACAGTTGTGTGTTAGTGACATGAGTAGGAAACATGCTAAGGCAAACAAGAGGGACCCGGAAAAACCTTCTATGTCGAATCTCACGATCCTCCAATAATCATCTAACTCAAAAGCAACCCTTGAAATTGATTTGAGAGTTCTAGAATCTGGAGCCCATGGATTAACACTAGTTGCCTCTTCTGTCATCCTGCAAATGGTAAAACACAGAGAAAAAGAAAAAAAGAGATTGAATTAGAAATCCTAGAACTAGTCTTGTTATGAAACAAATCAAAGGGAAATGACAAATCAAAATCTCACTCATGAATAAAAGAATTAGACTTATAGTTCCGCACGGGTGACATCTGATAGAGCTAATCTAGCAGTTTTTGATTTTCTCCTTGAGGAAGAAAGAATCTTGCTTTTTGAATTCATGGAACAAGGGCATGCTCATTTTTGCTGGTGCTAGTTTTGTCCGATGATCTTGGACATATATAAACTTATTTCGTTTGGGGTGGCACGGAGTGAACAAAAAACTGATACCTTGATAAAAAAAATAATCATTTTAAACTGTACAGCGATTTATGAAAACAAAGTATGAGTGACTTTTGTGTTTGGACTTCGCATACAGAAATTTCATTCATTTTTACGCATTACGCTTTATCAAGTTGTAGTTACTCTAGTTTTTTATTCTTTTTCCAGTATTTGAAATCACAAATTGCATATTCACCATAATGCCCTAAATCATATTCGTTATGGACCTCTTGCTTTACCAAATTCATCTTTCCCATGATAGTAATCAGAATTCATCAACTACAAGGACATCCGACCCAGGTGACGATTCTCTGACAAACTCATCACTATCCTTACCAATGTGGAAATTGAGGGCTGCGAGTGTGTGGGTGACAGAGTGAGAACGGAAGACTTGAGGGAGGGAAGGGAGGGAGCGGAGAACGACGCAGCACCACGCGCACCCAAATTTCTTTCGTTTAAAAATTACATACTCCTCATCATGAGTGTACCACATCAAAATTAATTGTTTGGCCAGCATGCGTGACACAGTAAAGTTAACATCCAATGAAATTAACGGCAAGGTTCCAATTGACTCAATTTTACAAAAATAAGGACCTAATTGAGATAAAAAAAATACGAGGACTTATTTGAGACAAACCTACACAATTAGGGATGTCCAAAAGAATTAAACTTTGTTTTTAAGGAGTTGGGTTGGAGTTGTTTTGTTTGGGATGGAGCAATTGTGGTTTGTGGGTTTATGTAAACCTGTCGGTACATCTCTCTCCAGCGATTCTTTCATTTATTTTTCACCCTTTGATTTTTAGTTTTTCTCCAATGAAAGCTGTAGATTTTGGCATTCATCATAAGTATAGTGTGGCATTTCTCTTCCCAGTTGAATGCATGTCTTTCTAGTTATGCAGTTGTGATTTTTTTTAACTTAAATGTTGTTAACCATTTCAGTTTCTTACCATTGCACATTCTTTGAGCCGTATTGGTTTCCATCCATTTCAAGCCCTTTTCCCATCCATTAATCAGCCCTTCGAGACTTGTGAGAGGTAGGGAGAATCAAGAATTTGGTGAGAGCATGAAAAGAGTGAGGCCAGAGCTGAAAAAGACAAGAAAAATGAGTTGAAAAAAATATGGTTTGGTTGAAAAAGGAAGAAGTCTGGAAAGAAATGAGAAAAATCAAAAAAAGGAATTGAAAGTGAGACCTGAAATGAATGTCAGAGAAAGAAAACATGAGTGAAAGAAAGAAAATTGGGCTAGCCAAAGCTTTAGAAACATAGTTTGCACTGAGTTCTAGGTTTTTCCCTTTTTCTTCACATTTCTCTATTCATTTCAGCTTCCACTATTTTCTGTTTTTCATTCCATTACATTACAAGCCAAATAAAGACTTGGTGATTTACATGAACCTTGAGTCAAGCACTGTCATTTAGAATCCTTTTAAAGTTATGAATTGAAGTTGGCATGACGTGATTGAGTGAACAGGATTGACTTTAAACACTTGAGTGATGTGAGTGTATACATTGCGTCCTGTGAGGTTGAGATTGAATGGTACTTCTCCCTATGCTTTCTTTGCTGATTTTGATTGAATTAAGCTATTATATACTTGCTAGAATTGCTGAAGCTTGATGTTTAAAGTTGAGAAATTCTTTTGGCTTGACGTGTTGATGGCCTGATCTTGTGTGTTGGGTTAATGGTAACCGATGACCTTGGTTTGTGATTGATATGTTCATGTATATGTGGCTATGATGATTATTGTTTCACTCCTGTCGTTGGTGATTTAATTGCTGATTTATGATTATTGTCCAACTAGTTCAGAAGTAGTTG